TATGTACATACAGTTATGTTCACGAAAATAATAGTGCGACAGCACATAACACTCCAATCTTATTGCTGGCATGTTCTTTCTTGTAAATTGAACATTTCTACAATACTTTCGTGGAACAGAATATTGTTAACAAAAAAAACACCAAAATGCCGTTATTTTTACTTTGCGTTGCTTTCTTTATGGTATATTTCAATATTTGCACCAAAAGTCTCTTGTTCATTAAAATAGTAGTGCTCGAGCGGAATAGTTGAAAAAAATTTAAAAAAAAAAATTTAATTTTAACTGACATCAGTAAATGTATTAAAATAATGTAGTAATTGTGTCATATAAATTTATTGAAATCGCTCTTTATTTCTTGTTTAGTAGGTTGAAAAAAAACCTTGCTCAATCAAAAAGCGAGAGTTAATAGATAGTTAAGTTAAGAGATCAAGGCAAGACATATGTATAAAGAAATCGAAGAAATGATTGGTTGCACTGCTCCGATGATATTTAATTCTATTCATCATATTATTAAGCCGAAACTCGTGGTGGTAAGCGCAAGACTACATTTCTAGAGGACCGACCAATTGTGCGATACATCAAAGCGAAGCCTTCGGAGTCGCCAAAAATAATGAAAAATGAATTGAATCTAATGGTGAATGCTGTCACAGTTAGCCAAAGGCTAAGAGTAGCTAATTTACATGGAAGGAATCCGATAAAAGTACCCCTTTTGACGAAGAAGCACTTCAATGCAAGAAAAAAGGAGTTGCGAAAGACCATATGTATTGGCCCGCTCAAAAGTGGCACAATATTTTATTTACGGACGAGATCAAACTTTTATTCTTGGTGGTATAGGGTCCAGGTAGTGTGTTCGTTGTCCCCCAAACACAGAATACCACCAAAGGTATACCACAAAGACAGTTAAATATGGTGGACTGAAGACCATGGTGTGGGCTTCTTTCTCGTATGCTGGCGATGGTCCAATCTCTTTGATCAGTGCCATTATGGAACAAGCAGTGCACATTAATACATAGAAAGATGTAATGCTACCGTATGCTAGTTGGAAAATCTCGTTAAAATGGACATTTCAGCAGGATAATGATCCTAAACATAAGGGCAAACTAGCTAATCATTAGTTCAAATCTGAAAACATTACGTGACACCATGGCCAGCACAATCTCCAGACCTAAACCCGATCGAAAACTTATGTGGCGGTGTTAAGAGAAGCGTAGCAATAGCAAAGCCATCGAAAAACACAGAGCTTTGGCAAGTGTTTAAGGAGGCAAGGACTCAAATCTCTGTGAGGCGCTGTAAGGACCTTATTGATTCCATGCCACGTCGATGCCTAGCCATTATAAACAACAACGGATTTACAACAAAATATTAGACCTTAGAGAACATAATAAATATGAAATATTTACTTTTACTTTCATATTCTTTGTTTTATCGTCTTTTTTAATAGCCACTACTATTTTCTTGAACAGCAAAATTTTTCAATTTTATATTAATTTAATGACTGTATGTAAACTAAAAATTTTTTTTAGTAGATAAAACTGTAAATATATCATACATCAATTAAAAATTAGGTTTTTAATAATTTTTTGATCGAATATTGTACTTATCATGTGATTTCACTGTTAAATAGTTAGTAGCCACCGGCACTATTATTTTCGTGAACACAGCTGTATGTATACATATAGACAACAAAGTTCTACTGCATATTACAACAAAAAATCAGAACTTCCACAAAGCTCAATGCCGAAAAGCCGAAAAAGGCAAATACGCCTTACTCATCATACTGCTTTTCGACTTTTTATTTGTTTTGACAATTATTTATTGCGTTTATCATTTAGAGTAGAAAAAGCTTTTAGCGATGCGTCATGTTTTCTTATTATTTAGCTTTTTTGTTTTTACACACTTTTCGTTGTTCTCATTTACATTTTTTGTTTATAAACAAATGTGTTTATCTGTTGTTTCACTCGCACCCACATCTCTATCCGTCTGTATATAATTTCACGTATACAATTAAAAATATTTATACGAATAATCGAAAGCCTATTCAATCTCATTTTATTCAAAAGTAAATGCATCGCGATTTTAATATGATTACTCTCCGTGCACATATTACATAAGTATGTACATATGTACATACTCATGTACCATATGTTTTAATGGTTTATGTAAATTCATATTTTTATGGGTAATTTATTATTGTAGCGGATGTACTGTACTAAAGCTTCCATGTAAATATGTACATATGTTTGCATGAATAAGTGCACAGTTATGCAGATAATTGACCACGAATCTGAATAGCATTAAGCTCTGTCCCATTTTTATGTTACCCAATTAACTAAACTATTCATATGTATGTATATATGTATATACATACATACTTATGTATGTACGTACATATATGTATATTCTCTGATGTAGATTTGTATTATAGATACCACAAACATACTGACACTTAAAACGCAATAACTTCACTTCCAGTCGATGAAATCTGCTGAAATTCTCACTGGATAGATCCCATAATATGGAAACCATAACTTTGCCTATTGGCTGTTGAATCCTTTTTCGCTCTGAATTGAGTTCATCGCGTGTTGTTCGCTCGCATGGCGCGATGTATCGAGTAAATTTATAGTTCTGGTTCGCGGTGTCTTTACGAAAACTAACCTTATATTAATTATCATTCAATCACTCTTTTTCAGTTTTTCACATTTTAAACACTCAGTTTTTCACATTTAAACACTCCCAAATAATGGACAGCTTCTTACTTTATTCATTATTTTGAATTTATAAAATAATATACATTTGGAGATATTAAAAAAAAGGTCAAGCAATTTTAACGCTTCATTCGTTATTTTGGAAACTCTTGGAGTTACAATTTAATGCATTATTTTATGAAAGTAGTTTTAAACCATATCCAATTCAAGGCTAATTATTTAGGTCACAGAAATAAAACTGAAACCAAAAAAGGTTATATCCTTGCAAAAAAACATTTGACGTTTTAGAAACCTGTTCAAAAACATTTTGACGTATTAATTAATGTGGCCTATATAATAAAACAAACAATTGGTTTCACAAAGACAAGACACTGCCTTTTTATAAGAAATAAATGCATATGGATGTATTGTAATATAATACAAATAATGGTATAAATATTTACATTACTAACAAGACTGAATATATTAATTATTTCAATCTGCAACACGAAGTTCATTCCTTGACACCAATAAAGAGCTCGAATAAATTGAGTTATCAACAAAAATGGAAAGTAATAGGTGTATGCTGCTTTATATTCGCCTTCATCGCATCGCGATGCTATTACGCTTCTCTGAAAAAAAAAACAGATAACTGGTTCTACAAATGAGTACGGGCAGTGCCGGAAAATTACATACTTCCATATATGTACATACATACATACATACATATAAATAGGTGCATATATATTTATGTGTACATACAGTGGCTCAAAGTTATAATGGAACAGTATGATTAAAATACTTTTATCTTAAATACAAAAAATTTAAATTGAAAGAAGACAATAATTTTTTTTTGCTTTTAAAATTCTGTTTAATGTTCCTACATATCAACCCAAAAAAACTTTAAAATATTTCATATTTACCATGAAAAATATAACTATAATAATAGATACACAGAATTCAGGCTCAAAGTAATAATGGAACACTTATAAATAAGTACAAATAAATTAAGTAAAAAATTAAACATTGATTTTTTTTTATTATTTAGTGGGCATTCCTTCATTTTGTAAAACAGCTTTCAAGCGATTTGGCATAGATCCCACCAATTTTCGAATGTTCAAATAAGCCATCTTATCCATATTCCCTTCTATTATATGCATTATTCCTGGTTCATTAGCAGATATCGCACCCCACACCATTATCGACCCCATGCTATGCTTCGCAGTTGGGCGTAGGTTAATTTGTCTGAGTTCTGTGTTAGGCTTTCTCTAAACATATGACTGCCCATCTGACCGAAATATGTTGAATTTACTCTCGTCCGTGTATAAAACATTTTTCCAGAAGGAGAAATATTTGCGAATGTGCTGTCTGGCAAAGTTGATCCGTTTCTGTTTGTTGATCTTGCTTACAAAAGGTTTTTTCCTCGCAATTCTTTCATTATAATTGTGTTTCCGCAGCACATTCCGCACAGTTTCTGGATCCGAACTTTTCCCTAAATACTTCTCTGCTAAGGAAGCTAATTTTGGAGCACTTGTATGAGGATCTTTCTTAATTTGAGCTAAAAGCCAACGCTCATCGGCCTCAAAAAAAATTTTGCGTTTACTCGGCTTTGGTCTATTGCTGAAGTTACCATTATTTTTGTACCTTTTTATTATATAAAATACTGTTGTCGGAGCTCGACTCAAAATTTCACTTATATCACGGATAGATTTCCCCGATTTTGATAACCGAATGACAGTTTCTCGTTGTTCAACTGTGGTTTGTTTACCCTGTGGAGCCATCTTACTTTTAGCACTTAAACACAGAACTAGTTTCACTTGAATACCGAATTCTTGGGACTCCCCTTACTTTTTCTGTTTTAACTAATAAGAAATTGAAGTTAGTCGCGATTTCTGCAATGCATAAGTAGAGTGTTCCATTATTACTTTGGGATTAAAATATATGTTTTTACGAAAAAGTAATAAATTAAAATATAACAAATGTGAAACTTACAATATTTTTTATTAATTTTTTAAGCTTATGATATATACATTTTAAAATAAAATACAAAATATTTGTACTAAATCCTTATGATCAATTATACTGATCGAAACTTCTGCCTTTTTACTGTTCCATTATTACTTTGAGCCACTGTATGTATATGCTGATCAATGCACATGTTGATAATGCAATTGAGCGAAGAGCAAATAAGGGCACGAATAAAATTCAAAAGTGGGAAATTAAAGCCTTTTGTTTCAAGCAGATGCTTGTCTCACCAAGTTCGCTCGCATCATTCATCTCAATTATTGGCATCTGCTGCAATTAGATGCACTGAATCGCAATCTTTTGTGCGTGTAAAACATTTAAATTTCTTTTCGCATGCTACTTATTGTACATATATAAGAGTATCTAGTGTTCTGTCGTGAGCTAGAACTTCTCAAGGTTTTTGGCAGGAGCAGTGGCATAAGCAAAGCCGATGGCTGAAACATGCACGTTTTTTATTTCACTTCCCTTACTTACGTACATACATACATATGTACATATGTATATGTATGTATAATTTGCCTTCATTGTGCCAGAAAAGAATGTTGATAAGCAAGTTAACGAGAAAATCTACAAACGCCACTTAATTGATATAAAAAGACAAAAAAAGCACACCTATGTACATACACATACAATAGAGTCAAAGCTCCATGCGTCAACTTCATCGAGAAGAATTTTCATTTCAACAGTTTGCCGACTCTACCGACGTAAAACCGCTATAGGTATGTACAATACATTAATCTGTCAACATGCTGTCTTACCTAACTTTAACAATGGATAGGTGTGCCACCGAATCCCTTTACACTTGTGCATCTCTTCCGGCAGTTTTAAAGCTACAAATGTAAGTTTATATGTATGGATGTACTATTTATTATATGATTTTCCTTTCATTTTTCTTTGTTCATTTTTCATATTATCTCACCCATACATGCATACATGTACATACATATGTATTGTCTTTCGGAGTCTTTAACTTCAGTTAGTACTAGCATACATTATACAATCTTTGACGCGAAGCATACTTAGCTGAATACTTCGGACACAAATATACATTTAATAATGGCTAAAACGATGTTATTTTTAACGGTATATAAAAAGTGTTGCAAAGATTTATTAAAAATTTCAACGATTTGCTGGAATAATTGATTCTCGCACTATGAATAAGTATAACCACCTCTGATGACTTGGAGAACTTGGGGAAATCATTCATCAATTTTATTGACAGACGTTGGCCATTGAATCCTGCTTCTCTGAATCTCCGGGGTATAAATAATGTATCTACCATCACTCCTGCTGAACAAAAAATTGTATGTCAATCCAGTCGCAGCAGATTTGCTCAAATTGAAAGTAAGTATAACTACTTGACCAGTTTTTTTATGCCCAGTACTGTAAATGGATAGACGACTGACCCTCATGCAAACACCGACTAGAAATATTTTTTTTTAAAAACCCCATATCTGAAGGTATCAACTGAATCCTAAAAAAAAACATCATTTAATTTTTCATATTTTGGCAAATTACGAATTTTCGCATTACTAAAGAGTCCTTTGATAGAGGCAGAAGATGGCAAAGTCGTTTTGTATACAATCCACATTTTTTCTTTATTTAAACAGTAGGAGTGCTGAGGAAATAGATTCAAGTAAAAAATGCATTCTTGTGCCGTTTAAGCAACAAATTAAACATCAGTGTTTGGCATTAAATTTCAAAATTATTTTGAATCGAGATTATGGGGATTACAAAATTAATAAAAGGTAGTTTTTATACTCTTGCAACATGCTGCTACAGAGTCTAATAGTTTTGTTCACCTAAAGGTTGTCTGTTGTACTCTTGTAAAATATTGCAGAAAAGTGAGATAGCTTAATGAAACTTGGTACATACATATGTTCATCTGCAAAAAAAAAAGTGGTGACAGGTTCGTACATGGGCGTAATCGGACCATCCACGAAAACTCCATTATTCGAAAAAAGGAAATGCCATAATTAAGCACTAAACTAAATACAATAGCAAAGAACAACTGTGGGTTAAATTTTTGGAAAATGGACGTTACCACGTCCTATAATATGTTTAATGTATGTACATACATACTGTGAGCGTCAAAAATAAGTAAACAGCAGTTCTATCAATATTAAAGTGTTTATAACAATGCAGTCTAATAAATAATAATTTCTTGTTGTTTTTTTATTTATGTTGTTGGTATTGGATATTTATAAGTAGTTAGAAAATGCCGTTTTCGGGGACTTCAGCTCGAAAACTCATTTTATAAACTTGTATTTAATATTTTACAGTTTTTGCGAAAACTTTTTTGTAGTTATAAACTATCGCACACTTTGTGTGATTGAGCTTTTATTGTCAAGCTGCTTTTGTTGATTTGTCCCCCTTTTTAAGTATGAAAAACGCGACTACCCATAACCAGTTTGCATACACACGTACATACATATATTCACACACATTCGTAATTATTACTTATAAACCCACGCATTAAAGCCAAACAGGAGTGTTGTGTATAAATTTGCGAACAAAAACAAAAAATGAGTAATAACAACAAAGCCTAACAATGACAACATGCATACAAACCCACCGGACGTGCCCATTTGAATTTATTGAATAAAGGAACGAATGGCATAGAAATAAATTAAATAATTTCAATATACATACATACATACATACATACGAGTAATATGCACACGATTATTCTATTTACTCTCGGTGGGCAAAAAACGCATGTATGTATGTATAGTTTTTTGTAACTGGGGTTATGTGAGTGGAACGTTGGAAGTTGATGAAAATGACAGAGATATAGAGAATAGGGGAACGCAATTGATAGGCATCGGGTGTTTCACGTTTGCCTGTGAGTCAGCGGTGTTTTATTGATGTTAAAAATACCACAATGTACAGAAGAGTTCTTCAGTTTTTCAAAATAGTCAGCGGAAAAGTATGCTTAAGTTTTAAAAACTAAAATATGTATGTATTAAATGTACATATGTATGTACATATTTACATATAATACATATACTGTAATATTTGTATTATTTCTAAAAGAATTTATGGGTAAACAAGTACGAAAGGGTTAAAAGTTCAGGTGCAACTGAATATTTTATACTCTTGCAACTTGTAAGAACCAAGGGCAGGAAAATATCTTTTACGTAGTATATGGGAGTTGGAGTAGTATCGACTCGATTCTATCTATTACATATTATCATGCCACATACTAAAAAAATGTACCCAGGGTTTCGTTAAGGTACCTCACATTCAGTCACCAATCGTATGGTGTAAAATCAGCCGGAAGGTCGAAAATCCATACATACGTACATATATGGGGGCTAGATCAAGTTTTTGTCCAAGAAATACTGAGTAAAATATGTTCTGTAATTTTCATTGAGGTAACTCAAATATTAGCCTATATATCCAGCATAAGATCATCCGGAAGTTCGAAAATCTCTATATTAAGATATATGGGGGCTCAGGGAAGTATTGACTCGATTGAAACCATTTTTGAATTTCAGTTGTATATCTCACACATTGACAGATATTTTCAAATATAGATACTGGGGTCCACATATTCGTTACCTAGGGACTTGAACAGACTTGGTTGCATTCGAGAAATACTTGGTCAAAAGGTGACATACTTGAAAATAATTATTAGTGCAAAAGTTTATCCCGTTGTTTTAATTACTTCGTGATTTGTGTACTGTAAAATGAAAGAATCAAGTGGAATTTAAAATTATGTTATGTGAGAAGTAGACGTGGTTGTGGTGAGGATTATCTTTCGATTTCATCCATTTTTACACTCTCGGCAGCTGTTCTTATAATATTTACGCTGAGCAAATTTAGTTAATGTAGCTTTAGTAGTTTAGGAGATATACACCTTAAGATAGATTTTTACTAAAGTTACAGCTTGCACTAACGGATGGACGGACAGATACAGTCACCGGGATAGCAAATTTTCTCGTCATACTGTTCATTTATATATACATAAATAACCGTATATCTATATCGCCCAATTTTAGGTGATACGTACAACCGTTAAGTGAACAAAACTACAAGTTGCGTTGCAAAGTAAACAGGACATTTTGAACTTAGCGTCCCCTGGTGGCGCCATCTATATGAGGACTGGTGCGTTAGAATCTGCTATCTTTATCGATTGTCCAGTGAGAATCATGACATTTCATCGATTGGAAGTGAAGTTATTGCGTCTTCAGTGTCAGTATGTTTGTGTTATCTATCTGTACGAAAATGAGCTTCTAACAAAGAAGCAACATTACTTTTGTTTTAAAATTGTTAAAATTTTTACTTTATATTTATATTATTTGACCAAAAATCACATTTTAACCATTAACCACTTGCCGTATTCACCTGATATGGCACCGTGCGACTTCTTCCTTTTCGGAAAAATGCGTTTGCCTATGAAAGGAAAGCGTTATGCAAACCTAGAGGTCATTCCAAAGAATTGCATCGGCATAGCAGCGGTCATACCGACCAACGAGCTTAGACACTTGTTCGACATGCTGCTACATTGAAGCAGGAGGAGACTATTTTGAATAAAATAAATTGATTTTGCCGAAAAAACCATTTGTTCTGATTTTTTTTAAGTCCTGTTTACTTTGGAACGCACCTTGTATAATACTCTGCAGCAACAGGTTGCAAGAGTATAAAAACCATACTCCATCGAAATCGCTGAAGTTGATCCATTTATACTTATGTATACATAAATATTTTCATGAACAGTATGTATGTCCTGTAGTATTTAGCTGTATTAATTTTTCAAAGTATTAACCAAAATAACACCGAAATGTGTTTTTTGACAAAGTACAATAGTAAAGAATAGTTAAATTAATACAAAAAACTTTACTTATACATATTTTTTGTGAAGATTTAAATAAAACACGTAAGAACAGGTTCTGCTGTTTGTAAGCAACAATATTGCCTTTTCTAATAAGGCGAAATATAAAATGTTTACTACTTTATCAATCCGAGAAGTTAAGAAGAAAATGCAAAAACAAAAAACCTTTACTAAGGCGATAAAGTCTGAATTGGCAAAAAAAAATATCTGACTTTGTTTGGGGTTATTTTCTAAATATGTAGGTAAAAATATAACTAATATTACTACCAAGAGCCCAAAAAATATTTTTCTTTTTAAAATATTATGTTTTTGAAAATCCAAATTCAACATATCTATTACTATAATATAAAAATAAACAATAAAATATGTAATTGTCATATTTGTATGTCTCAAACAATAAGCGTTAATGACAAGAAACTAGTGTGTAACCTTTCCATAACATTCAGTCAGAATTGTGCAACAGATACTAAATGAACTTGTGGTATACTTCTTTCATGAAATTCACCACCAAAAGCTGAATATGTATGTATATCGATTATTTATTGTTGAAAACATATGTACAGCTAAAATTAACGACAAAGCCAAACAACCGAAATTAACCTCAAAATTATTTCAAATTTTTTTCACACTTATTCGACAAAAATGGCCATAATACACATAACACTATAAATGCATATTTACTTACATATGCACATAATGAGTAATGAAGATAACACAAAACTAATAGCAGAACAAAAATCATAAAGCTCTTATAACAAAATAATATGTTTTCCACCCACGTACATATGTACATAGTACATCCATATGTACAAATCATCAACATCTGCAAATCAACCAAGCGAGTGAAAAAGTGCAAACTCCACCACTACCAATCAAAATAGCAGCCATACGTAGATGTAAGTATGTATGGTTAAGTCTGTATCTGTTTGAATGTATGAATTTATAATTTTATGGTTTATGTTTTTCACTGTAATCAGTGCATAACCCTCTACTGCTACGCTTTTGCAACAACAGCAACGAATGCAGACAGCGGTCCATGTTTTGAACTCAACATGTGTTTCAATGCCTTTCCAGATAAACAATAAATTTCATTATTTTACTATCGTCAGAACCATAGCGCCCCGTTTTCACTAGATGTGCTTTGTATTGATGTTCTTGCTTTTGTATGGACAACATACATACATATGTATATGTATGTACATATTTACTCAAATGTATATCTAACAGTGCACAAAGAAGGTTGAACCAACTGAAGTTTTTATTTATCAACATATGTACATATGTACTTATACATATGTAACTAATTATATGTTTTAATAATTTAATTACAATCTCCCTTCATAAAAATATTACTTTTCATCAACATACAAAATATCATCAGTTCTCATCCGAAATTTTAGTTTAAACTTAAACAAAGCAATACCCTGACCGCTAGCCGAGTTTTTAGTTAATACCATGCTTTTTATGGGACATTTGGTAGAGCAAGAACCATTCG